CCCTGCTGTAAGCATAACTGACAAATATACGCCAAAGGGTGATTTTGAAATAGTCGGCTTGAAGAGTTAGAGTAATCAGTTAGTTCAAGGAACTGAAATGTTCTTTGGTAACATTTTTTCCTAAACATACCGCCATGCAAGAACAAAATTTAATAAAAAAATTCATCAGACTATGCGGTCTATCTCACCACAGATAAGTAAGATACAGAGAATACAATCAATGGTACGCTCCAGCCGCTGATGTCTAGAGAAAATTTTTAAGGCCTTCCCCTTACGCTTTCTTTTCCCCCTTCACCATCACATCATGTATTACAGCGTTCATGATGTAGTACCATGTGTGCTACAACTGCTGTACAAAAATTCAATGTGGCCATCACTGTTTGGACTCTTCCTTGCTCGGTACAAGTACATTTCCACACCACAATACTCAAGTTAAAAAGCGCACGGTCCTCTGTGACCTAACCTATATGGGTTGAAATAAAGATAAAATCACCATCATAATTTTGGAGCTAAATTAGACGTTAATAAGCCTAAGGATAAGGTTTAATTTGCATTAAAAAAATGTAAAATCAAATCGTTGTTGTTGTACCAGCTTAAACTAGATTGTAGAGAAGAATCGGATGCATTTTCCATCCATCCAAGATGATTTTGCATTTCTGTTCTCAGGGTGAGTACATCATCTCCACCCGTGTCCGTTGCGGTCGCTCCATGCAAGGCTACCCATTCAACCCCTGCCTGACTGAGGCCCAGTACAAGGAGATGGAGGAGAAGGTCTCTTCCACCCTGTCTGGTCTGGAGGGAGAGCTGAAGGGAGCTTTCTACCCCCTCACAGGCATGACCAAGGAGGTGCAGCAGAAGCTGATTGATGACCACTTCCTGTTCAAGGAGGGAGACAGGTTCTTGCAGGCTGCCAACGCGTGCCGCTTCTGGCCCACCGGACGTGGTATCTACCACAACGACAACAAGACGTTCCTGGTGTGGTGCAATGAGGAGGACCACCTTCGTCTCATCTCCATGCAGATGGGTGGAGACTTGGGACAGGTACGACCCCATAGACTATTGGGCTTTCAGTCATATGGAAAGATAGGCAATCATTTTTGTAGATGGAACTACTTTGGTGTCTACTATCAATTGGTTTGGGTAGAATTTTTGCTTCTATACATGGGAATTCATCTTAGGAAAATTGTATTAATAGATGGTAATTATTTGAAATCCACTTATCCACATGTGATCATGCACTCCTTTTTACTGCAGCATGTGATATGAAAAAGTATGCTGAAAAAGATAAAATCGTACAAGAAATAAAATATAGTATTTGGGAGTATTCTTCCCATATCTGGCTGTTATATCCTATTTTGAATTGTCTGTCCAACTGCCTACATAATAAGTGAAATGTTTGATATTTTAATTTTTAGATTTTCCCTAAAAAATTACTTGAGAAAGATGCAATAAAGTCCTTTTAAACAGAAACAAATGAATAGTCTCTATTCTAGGAAAGAAAAATTAAAGTGTTGGAAACCTCAATTCAATTCTGTGCCTAAACTAAAGGTTTTGAAGGGAATAACATGGTCGATATTTATTGCAGGTCTACCGTCGTCTGGTGTCTGCTGTCAATGACATTGAGAAGAGGGTCCCATTCTCACACAATGAGCGTCTGGGATTCCTCACCTTCTGCCCCACCAACCTGGGAACCACAATCCGTGCCTCCGTGCACATCAAGGTGCCCAAGCTGGCCGCCAACAAGGCTAAGCTGGAGGAGGTCGCTGGAAAGTTCAACCTTCAGGTGAGAAAGCTGCATCTTATATATCTATCTTCCACAGCAGTTATAGTCACTTGATTTTGAGAAAGTTATACATTTTACACCAACGTTAGACGTACTAAAGGAAATGGATCCAGCTATGATAAAAGTAGCTGGCTTTCATCGAAACAAGACTTGATAGTACAGGTTATCATTCAAAATTGCACACTGATCTTTAAAAGCCTTTAAAAGGGAAAGTTGGAACTAGGCCTCCTAGTGGAGCAACTAGCTGGTTGTGTCTTGCTAAGGCAAAGGTTCTGCAATCATCAGCCTTCTCCAAAATCTTCGTTGCAGCCAAATATTGCTCTTGTTTGGCTAAACAGAGTGCTGAATGAAAACTTTAAGTGGTGTTCAAAGTTCTCTCCTCAGCCCCCAGCGCTGGAGTCACTTCTTCTCCTGACATCTGTCATCAAGAGGCACTATTTCTGATATCTATAAAAATCCTGTCTGAAATTAGACCATAGACAAAAATAAACAATATAGACCGTCAGCTGTGCTGCGGTTACCATAAGTTCTAGAGCACACCGCTGGGAGCGTCATGTAGTTACGGCGTACGTGCTACGTAAATACACAGGGCTGCCAGCGGTGTGCGGTATAACCTATTGTAACCATAGCACTGCTGACAGTCTATATTTAATTCTTTTTGTATATGATTAGACTAACCCGTTAGCTGCAAAATCTCTCACCTAAAAAATAACCTCAGTCCTGGCAGTTCAGCTACTGCTATATCACTAGTTCTTCATCTCTGACACAGCAATAGTAGGTGGCATGTAAGGAGTATACTTTATTAGACACGGGTTATATCTAACGTCTGGTGTTTGACTGTAGGTCCGTGGTACCCGAGGTGAGCACACAGAGGCCGAGGGTGGAGTTTACGATATCTCCAACAAGCGCAGGATGGGACTCACAGAGTTCCAGGCCGTCAAGGAGATGAACGACGGCATCGCCGAGCTCATCAAGATCGAGCGTGAACTCTAAGTCTCAGGCTCCTACGTTCATATCCATTCTTTTTTTTATTTAAAGATTTATGTACTTTAATCTATTCTTTCTACCAAAGACGGAACCGACTACACCAAAAATAAAATTGTGATATGTAATGTTAGTTGTACATTGCATATTGGAATCGACTGAAATTAAACTAATAAGAAAAGAAAGTGGAAATTTCAGTTTTTTTTACCATCGGTTTTCACATGTTTTGTTATCCTAGTAGATGTGCTATGTCGTTACAATATGATTCTGGTGTACATTTTGTTAAGCATTATCTGGAAGTAATTTTTTAAATTACAACAAACCTTGCAAAATAGATCCTAGTTTGTGTCGATGCTTAATGTACCGCTTGTTTTATAGGACACTGTAGTGTACCCTGGAATACTCGTAACGTTAGTTGTTGAATTGTGTATATGGTTAGCTACCACCCGAGATGGTAAATTAAACTGTTGACAAAATAAAATTGGTTACTATATTCTCAATCTTTTCCTTCCAAATTCCCTTTCAGATGCCTCTAAATGGTGCAGCTATTTATTATGTGTAAAAATTAAGTTTGAATCTCTATATCCCACATGGTATACATTTGTTCAAGCTAGGGTTGCCATATGGTAATTTGTAAAAAAGGGGAGATTTTAGCTAGTGGCCCAAACTACAGTAAATAGGCCTAACAATTTACGGGCTAGCAAAATTGTACACCTACATAGCACAATTAAATATTATAACAGAATTGGTATGAGTCATACACATAAAAAAATTATATCACTGACCTGAAATTAAACACGTTTTTGTTAATACTTAAATGGAACTGTCAAAAAACGTCCAAACCAGTTTATTAGTCATAAAACATTTATATAAAATACTTACTAATATTAGGCTACGTCTATTGACATTCGGGTTAGTAACGTAATTTATTTATGTTAATTAATCCATACCGTTCTGTTCAATATTTGGGCTACAATGTCAATATTCAAATATGGTACGCTAAAGCATAAAATTTTCATCTTGCTTGTCTCATCTCACTAAAAATAAAGAATAACGTTAACAAAACGCTCTCTGTCTGGCTCTGGTAGTGAACAGAGATACGTTCGGACTTAGGAGTTCGAACTGGCCGGTAGACGCCAATTTAAAAATGTTAATAGAGAGTACAAAAGTATTTTTCAGTCATTGCATAGGCCTACCCTAACAATATTTGTGAACACAAACATTTTATTTATTCCAAAAGTGCCGTTATACAATGTATTTTGATTGACAGAAAAAAAGAGGAGATATCCCACTTTTTGCAGAAATCCCCTGGAGCTAAATTTTGAACGTCAAAATCCGGTAATCTCCGGGGAAATGGCAACCCTAGTTCAAACAAATAGAACATTTTGAAAGTAAAAAAAATTTATCTAAAAAATTATAATTGATTGATACTGAAGGTAGAGAAAAAAATGTTTACAAATATATACTGGTAGTAAGTGTGATTAGAATTTTTAAAAAGTTTAGTGCCTAAAACTCAAAACTATCATGTTTCAAAAAATCAAATGAAAATCATGACTATTTCTGGAACAGGGGAATTAACAGACAAAATACTAAAAAAGACAAGGACCTCATAATCCTCAATAGATGTGTCACAATATACGTTTTTGAGTCAATACAATATGTTGGAATAGTATATTTCGTACTTAGGACTAATAATGAGCTTTTGCCGGCTCGAGAGCTGCAAAACATTTTGGTCTGTGGTACGAACGGTATTTTCACCACTACCACTATTCACCACAATAATAAAGCACACTGATAGTCAACACAAGTACAACTTTAAGGTTGTGAAGAAATAATTTGAGGAATCAGCAAAAATAATAATAAATAGTTGCTAGGCAGTGATGACAATAAAACAATTCTTTTGCAATGCTATGGATACTGATTGTGTATTTAATATGCATTTATGTTTTAAGTAAGTAAGCGGGTAGCTGATTTTGGGGCCCTAGGGATGTAAAAACCTGCTTGGTCCCCAAATGACGATGACAGCTGGCATGGCCAGCAAAACGTATCTTTCAGCCACCAATTAACGTATGTAAAACAGCTAAAAACATCATAGTGTGGTAAAAATATATTTTAACTACCTTTAGCAGCAGTTTAAACAGTTGCATTTTAAGCCCAAGTAGTAATGATGCTACTACTCACAATTTGTATTTTCTCAGTAGGTATACAATAAAAGAACTAGGCCTGGCCTATATAGGTAACAAATAAATAGTTTTACTGTATTTACATATATACAAAACATGACTGCAGTTGATCACTATGTGAAGGGTTTACACAGAGCTATTGTGTGATCGACTCCCGCACTCACTTTGAGGACATGTGCTCCAACATTGACCTTGAACAAAAAACCTTATTGGTTGAATAGAAAAATGAGTATATTAGAATTAACCTCATATTACAACTATTGTGTTGAACGTTGACATTTTTTAGCACGACAGGATTTTAAATTGATCAAAGAAAATTGAATGCACTGTTAAGTTAGATTTTTAAAACCCAGGGATTCAACCGAGTATGGCTGATTTCCTAGCTGGTGAATACAGCTGTGATTTTACAATGCGATGTTCGGCACTGACTCATTACATAGGATTGGGTGAAGTAGTTTACCTAGCTGCCGAATTAGGTAGTGACTGTACAATGTAGCGGGCTGTGGGAGGGGTTACTGATTTCAAAGCTTAATAAAAAAGGCCAGATAAATAGTAAAAAATATTCAGAGCCGCATTTAAACACGCAGAAACTCATAAATTTTTGTTAAATACCTTAATGTTACATGTTCTTAAGGTAACCCCATAAAAAAGTTCAACAGTATTAAATCCGGACTTCTAGGTGGCCACAAAACTCATGAGATTTTGTTTTGACATATACATGTGTATATTAGATTGAGTTGTGTATTTATACAGCCAACGTCGCAACTGAATAGCGCCGTTGGGGTATATATACGGAAAACGCTGGGAAAGGGTTAATTGCATCATACAGGTGATACGAAACTGTCAACAAGTAATTAGATTTTCAATTTATATAACATTATATTGCTTAACCATCATGCGTGGATTGAAGAATTTGAAGAGTTTATTAGAATAAATTTAAATGCTGACCCACTGGAAGGCATAATTTAGAAAAATATGAGGCTTGATTGTTGAAGATCCGCTGGTTGTTAGCTGGAGTTATAAAAGTCCAAGCATTCAGCTATTGAATTTTCTCAATATCAAACAGTCAACCTGTTGATTAGCAGAGGCAACCACAAGTTTGAGGCATGTCAGGAAAGGTTGGAAAGATGTTTGTTTTACAGCTGTCTTCAAATTACTTTACACGTTTACACAAATAAAAAACATACCCCCGCCGCAGCAAACCTGCAGACTAAGTGAATTTCCATTTGCTTGATTGGATTTACACAAAAATGTCTCCTTAAAAATATCAATTTATTCCCTATTTAAATAACATTAATTTAACGAGTACTTAGGTTTGCTGCAACAGGGAGGGTAAAAATGTGTGTTTTTTTTTTGTAAAATGTTAATAGTTTAGAATGAAATTAATGCATTTTCCAAATTTGATCAAAATATGTTCATAAACAAGCAAACTACAACAGTTTACTTATTCTCCATAAGAATAACATGGGAATTTTAAATTTACAGTTTTTTGGAATTTTCTCTGTAACCATTAGGCGCATAATAACACTTCAATATACTAAATTATTTGTTTTTTTAAGCTCTACAAAATGGTTTGGAAAGAAAATGTTAATTTTTAAGTTTTTAGGGTTAAAAATGGGAAAACCCAATTTTTACCCCACAAACACCTTTTCCCATAGTCCGATCATTCTGGTTCGCGAACTCGTTCGAATAAACGTAGGTTTATACGTTTGTACCAAATTCCATGAAAATCGGATTGGTTTTTCTCGAGTTATCGCGCTAATGGACACATATATAAATATATATATATATATCCTACTAATATTATAAATGAGAAAGTTTGGATGTATGGATGTATGGATGTATGGATGTATGTTTGTGACAAGTGAACGCGAAAAATCCTGGTCGGATTGGGCTGAAATTTGGCATGATGACAGCTCACATTCCCGATTAACATATAGGCATATTCTTATTTCAAAAATTCTTTCGGGCTCCGTCCCAGTGGCTCTGGAGTTTCCCATGTTAACCTTATGAGAAATGAAATTATTGAATCTTAACAGCTGTTTCAATTAAACAAGTTGGTTCTGTTCTGTGATGTTCAATAGCATTAAAGTTACAAAAATTACCAACAGGGTGCAGCACTATTATTTCTTTTACATTTATGACAACAGCTAATTTGCAACCAAAAGGTGAGTGAGCGTAGCGAACGAACTTCAACCTGGAGGCGAGTTAGCGTAGCGAACGAGCTAACCTGAAGGCAAGTGAGCGCAGCGAACGAGCTCCAACCTAAAGGTGAGTGAGCGTAGCGAACGAGCTCCAACCTAAAGGTGAGTGAGCGTAGCGAACAAACTTCAACCAGGACGTGATTGAGCCATGCGTAAGAGATAATCTTGAAAATTAAGAAGTTAAACGGGGCAAAGCCCGCGGGTTACAGCTAGTAAATATATATATATGAATCTGAACGGATGGTGTTTTTGGCCTCTAGGGACCTCAAAACGAAAAAGTAAATCGGTCCCGCGTCCAGGTCTTACCATGAGTACTACGGTAATAGCTTATTCCCTATATGGGAAATTCGCTAAAACGGTCAGTAAAAAATTAAGCAAGACAAACACAAAAGATAAACAAACCTTGAGTGGAAAGTACTGGTCTTTAGTTGAACCGATGCCCAAACAGCCGCTCTTGTTTCGACCCCACATGTACAGCTGTCCTTGGTTGGTGATGGCAGCCAAGTAGTAGAGTCCACTGGCCAAACTGTCCACACGGGAGTGAGGCATGAACATGTTCTGACCAAACAATGTCTCAGGCACTCGTAGTGGCCTGGGTGACATGTCTACCTGAAGTCCTAGACCCAACAGACCATAGCCCCAGACAAACACAGCACCTTCCTCTACAACAAATTACACAAGACAAATGTAGAGGATATTCAATTTGATTTGGTACAAAATCTCGGGGAAAAAGTCTAGTATGTCTCAGACACACTGTTTAACAATTAAAACCCCCAAATCTCTCTAGTAAATTAAAATCAACATTACTGTGTACATGAATAACACGAAAACTTAACTGAACTGAACCGAGCAGAGACTGACCAACCGTAGGCCTCACAAAGTGTAAGCTCAAATAACCATTGGCGTAACCAAGTGGAGAACCAACCAAGCTTTCTAGATCCAACTTAAATACAAGCACAGTCCTCTTACCATTGAGTACAGCACAGAAGCTTCCCCCTGCAGCTATGTCGATAATCTTTCCCAATCCACAAGTTGATTCAAGCCTCACTGGGGTACATACCTGCAAGTAAACATTGGTGTTTTAGGCGAAGGACTTAAAGTAAAGATTTATATTTGTTGGCAAGTCAGTGGCTGAGGCCGTAGCACACTACTAAGCTTTCTCTTGGTAAAGTTAGCACTATTATAAGACTGATGCAGGTTAATAACTTTAGTTTGACAATTTAAAATAACATGGGGTTGTTTAAATTAAAAAAATTAACATGAATAGTTATGGGTCCGCGGAATTGGCTAACTCTGGAACTCGCTAACCCCATGTTAAAAGCCCTATCTTCAAATTTGGTCGATGAGAGGAACTCGCTAACTTGTTCGGTTTCGGAATTGGCTAACTCCGGAACCCGCTCTAGAGCCGGGTTAGCAAATTCCGTCCTCGTACGGAAGTCGCTAACTCGGTCCCTCGGCGGAACTCGCTAACTCCCAATCAGAAGCCTCGCGGGCCGTCCAATGGGAGCCAAGCACGAATATTTTCGGCCAGTGTTACCGAAAGTGTAGTACATATATAGTATCGGTACCATAATGTCGTATCCTACGATTAATTAGGAGTAAGAGCAACGTAGTTGATCAAATAAATATATTGAGAAGTATGTTTAACATTATTCTCATGATTATTAGGGTGGAAAATGCATTATAGTCTTACCATAGACTAACCAACACAAGTAAACTTTATATCCCATTGTAAACTTTGAAGCTCGTTTTTCGCGTCTAGTTCATGTCCGGTGACCCTGATCGCTAGTGTCGACAAAATTGTGTTTCTATTATTTCTATAGTTAACTTCATAATTTTCCCTTTACTGTTTGGTTATATAACTAGGGGACGTGTATTAGTTGTGATTAGAACGTTTTATTTGGTTAAACGAGGTTTTAAATGACTGGAAACAAGAAACAATTGTAAACAAAACACGACCTCTAAAGACAGTGCACCGGACAGAACTAACAATAAAACTGTTTTCAGCTGATCCATAAGGATTAGAAATATACTAATATAAGGGAGTATGTTTTATATTTGGGCTTCTTACTTAAATAGTAGCTTTATGGTATGCAAAAAGATAAAAATGTACATTTAATTTGGATCTTTTTCATGTTATGAAATATCTATTTTCGTAGTTCGCCATTTGTTTCTTTTATTCGAATAAATACAATTTTTTTAACTTCTGCAAATAAATTATTGAGTTCGTATTTTATATACTGGGCTTGTAACCTTGAATCATAAAATTGAATCATAAATCATGATAAAATTTACACGTTAAACGTCAGTCCAGAAATACATTGTAGTGGTAATGTATTTTTAAATAGAGCTATTGAATTTAAATACATATTTATCAATACAATGTTATAAAGTTGTAGGTCTAATTTATTCATAGATTGCATTAAAAATTAGTCTATGCATAAATACAACTTGTAAATTTCTTTTATCGTAGGCTATAAGTGTAGAACCCGGGTCATCCTCTTAATTTTGTTTAATTAATATTAATTTTACGTCTTTCAGTAGGCCTACTTTTTAAAAGTCTGGAGTTTTTCTCCAGGCTGGTTCTAAATCGACCCAGGCGTTCTTGTTTGTTACAATTCTTATGAATGGTGGCCATACATAAAATTACTTGATCTTATCCACAAACAAAGCTATTGTATATTGAGTAGCTCAGTACCGGGGAACGGTGAACCGAGCAATGGCTTGGTATAGTTTATTTCGATTGTGAAACCAATGTAAAGGAAACCCAACTAACTAAGAAAATCCGTCAATTCGTTGATTAAGAATCGCGAATTAAAATTACCCTGTCACGTTTTATTATATGAGTATTATATCTTCTCCTATTATTTACTAATGGTGCTTAGGTGTACAATCTAAAAACTGTTTTAAAACATGTAACATTATTACTAAAAAATTCAACACATTTTAGAATTAGGCAACTATTTACTAGTAGGCCTACAATGCTTTGGCTTAAACTATTAGGCCTAGATAAAAGCTTCCTAGTCTAATGTCATATTTTTACACGTAAGTTGGACGATTCAACGACGAACATTTAATTTTAAATCTATGAACTAGTTATGAAAGTTACGATGGTTGATGTTTGATGACATTACGATTAAATTTGTTTTCCGTGTTTGAGAACTAGCGTGTATTTTAGCTCAATTTCGTAGAGGTTTAATTATTGAGTACCTTTTCAATATTTTTCAACTCTATTATTTTCTTTTATACTTATGGCATTTATATTTAAGATCGAAACCATAAACATTTGACTGGGCATTGTAGAGTTAAATAAAAAAAACACACTTTTCATGATTTTTTAATAATTATTGTCTTTGAATTACTTTGGGCTAGTTATCTGTTAAAAGTTAAATTGATAACAAAAACAATTACATTTACTGTGTATTAATTGACACTGATACTTTGAAATACGGTAATGTGGGCGCGGCCGGGTTAGCGACTTCCAGAGTTAGCAAATTCCGCCGCGAGACAAAATCGAGTTAGCGGGTTCCGGAGTTAGCCAATTCCTGACTGAGACGGTTAGCCAGTTCCAGAGTTAGCCAGTTCCGACACACGACCGAGTTAGCGAGCTCCTGAGTTAGCCAATTCCTACGTCTCATAGTTATTGATAAATTATTTTTCTTTCCTATATAAACATTTTTACTTGGAAAAATCAATAATTGTCACAAAAACATTCACTCGATCAAACAAGACTAGTTTGAAGAATCTGGTTTGACTAAACAGGATGTAGTGAATTGCCTTATTTTGAAGAATTGTCAGTACCTAGAAGAATATTGGGAGATATAATCCTAGAGAATGCCTGACAATGCATGTTTCTCCGTTAGCTTATTCTTCACTATTGCTCCAATCGAGAATCTAACAAAGGACAACCAAACAGTTATTATACTCGAGTTCTCGAGTCAAAGGTGGTTCATGAAAGCATTGATCATCTGACACTGCCCCTTTAACTTTGACTGTGAAATAAGTAATTTTGCCATTATAAAAAATATTTTTGACGTCTTTCTGCCACAATGTCGCTCACAGTTCTGCTTTTGGGCCAGGGAGAATGGAAGACAGGACTTCCTAATTCTGCTTGATTTATAAAGCCCCTGGTAATTTTGATAAACATATTAATCATAAATACTTATTTTTAAAGAATTTCGTTCAGGTGGAACTTGAAGAGTAACCTACGTCTGGTAATAACAAGAATCTTGTTAATACCAGACAAGATAATATTGTGAAAATTGTGATCTACAATTAATTAATATGTTTACAAAGTTTATGGACATTATTATTTTATTTTGTATTATTTACACTAAAATTGTAAAAAATAATTAGTAGTAATACTGAGATTATTATAGATTAATAGGTGAGTTGCAAAAAATATCAAGGATGGATCCCAGACAAAGAAAATCACTACTCACCTGCTGTAAGTCACCAGTCTCTGACAACTGCCTGTACTCGTTGTTTCCCCATCCAAATACTTCTCCTTTATCTATAAATCCGGAATATGTTTTAATTAGAAGGGCCAGCCTAGCAATACGATGCAAGTTTTAAATTAGAAACTATCCAAAATGTCATCCACACACCAAACAAAAACTTTAACTATCCTACTGACATTTAAAGAAAATTTGTCTTTGCATCACCAATGCAATACCAGGTGGGCCAGTTACACCCAAAAACCTAGATTTAGGGATCTTAACTTGGATTTGAGTTTCTGAAATCACACACTATTAGCATTTTAGATTTTAAAGAATTTAAATGGATAAATTAACCATAATTACACATGGTACGATGCACTAAATAAATCTAATACCTTCTCACTTATTGTTCCTATGCCAATTTAAAAAATAAAAAAAATATTCTTCTGGTTTTTGGGATCATAAGTTGATAGGATAAATAGTTAACAGCCAAAACATCGTAGAACTATCTGGATCATAGGTTTAAAATTATTGGATAAGTTAAACTGTCAATTGTTATTGCTGTTTCAATATTATTATTAATAGATTTTGAAGATAGTCTTACCCCCTTGACAATACTACAAGCCCACACTCACCGTTGAGGGCCAGTACACAGTCGCCAGTGCCGGCCAGTTTGGTAATTCTCTCACTAGCAATGTCGCCTCCTACTCGGCCGATCTGCCACTGTGAGTTGTAATCTCCTCTGCCCAGCTGTCCATCAGCTCCCCACCCACAACTGTACAACCCTCCCCTCTCCCCCTCCGTCACCATCAGCCTACACAAGCAAACACAACAAGCGGATAATTATATCAAATAAATATTTGGGTGCTATGACGACAACCAGCTACTTCAGTAAATGTAATTGTTACAATTAACTACATCTGACCACAATCTCGCCAAATGTTTGTAAAATCAACCATGGTGTAATGTAGTTTAACAATAGAATAACAGATTCCAATATTATTAGCACAGTCTTAAGCCAATCATCTCAAAGAAAATGCTGGATGAATTACTCTAGCACTTTGAGTAGTGGTTATAGTAAGTTAGTCAGTAGGGCTGTGTTTACTAGTAACGATAAAGAAATTTAACCTCTCTATACATTGGATTCTCCATCCATTCACCGCCCAGCCCAGACACTATTGCAGGTGCACTATTTATTAATTGTGATATATTTGAAACATAAAATTCAATTTAAGTCACTGCGTCCTGACCATTACCGTGGTGTGTGTCCTGCCCGTGCATTATCATAATATAGGCCTATTCGAAGTTTTTATTCGTTTTCGTAATGTCTTCTTACCGTCCGTATAGGTGTGTGTGTGTGTGTATGTACATTTTAGTAGTAAGTAAACAATGACAAGGATTTCATCATCCAACTGCGATGTTTTGACAACAGCAGATACAAACCGAAACATGTAAACAACCTTTTGTAAAATTGAGCTGTTTGTCGAATTTATAAAAGGTATGAAACATATTTATTAGGGATGGACGGGTCCCGAAATTTCGGGAATTTTTCGGGAAAAAAATATTCCCGATTATCGGGACGGGATTACATTTGACTCAGGAATTTTTCGGGACGGGATTTGGTCCGATCGTCGGCGATTTTTCCGCTTCGCGAGTGCCGATAACGCCGTTATTGCGAGCGATAGGTCCGCGAACGCAGGAGACGAAGTCATACCGACGATCGCGCCGTGACCGCGGAGTCCTACCGACGATCGCACCGTGACCGCGAGTCATGACGACGATCGCGCCGTGACCGCGAGTCATGACGACGATCGCGCCGTGACCGCGAGTCATGACGACGATCGCGCCGTGACCGCGAGTCATGACGACGATAGCGCCGTGACCGCGGAGTCATGACGACGATCGAGCCGTGATCGCGAGTCATACCGACGATCGCGCCGTGACCGCGAGTCATGACGGCGATCGCGCTGTGACCGCGAATCATACCGACGATCGAGCCGTGATCGCGAGTCATATCGACGATCGCGCCGTGACCGCGAGTCATACCGACGATAACCCCGTGACCGCGGAGTCATACCGACGATCGCGCCGTGACCGTGAGTCATACCGACGATCGCGCCGTGACCGCGAGTCATGATGACGATCGCGCTGTGACCGCGAGTCATACCGACGATCGCGCCGTGACCGCGAGTCATGACGACGATCGTGCCGTGTTCGCGAGTCATACCGACGATCATGCCGTGACCGCGAGTCATACCGACGATAACCTCGTGCTTGCGGAGTCATACCGACGATCGCGCCGTGACCGCGAGTCATGATGACGATCGCGTTGTGACCGCGAGTCATACCGACGATCGCGCCGTGATCGCGAGTCATGACGACGATCTCGCCGTGACCGTGAGTCATACAGACGATCACCCCGTGACCCGCGAGTCACAAGTTACTATAGGTACCTGTAAATTGTTACCCATTTTTTTGTTTTTATAGATCAGTGCCACAAATGGTAAAAATTGATTTTGTATGTCTTTTTTTGGTAACTGCAGTACAGTACTTTCTTTTTATGCACAGAAAAAAATCCCGTCCCGTCCCGTCCCGAACTAAAAATTCAACCCCGTCCATCCCTACTATTTATCATACAGGATCTTTAGTTAGATTAGCTATAGCCACTACAATCGCACAAGGAAGAAGACAGTGTTTGAAAGACTAATTAGGCTATTTATATGATTTATATAGTACTGTAGGAAAAATATAATGTGTAACACGAGTGCTAACTGCCTTTGCTGCACTCGAGAAACTTCCACACTCGCATACGGCTTGTGCACAAACATCTCTATTGTGTGCAGCAAAGTGCCACTTTGCCCACTAGTTCACCCACACAAATAACTATTCCTATCTATCAATTAAATTACTGTAAGCCAGCCAGTTTGGAAAACTTTAACCTTTACATTTTCTCTAGGAGTCCTACTGATAGGTTGACAAACAACTCAGATAAGATAGCCTATAACTGGAATTTAGCAAACAGGAAAGCAACATCAAGTCATTGAGCAAACAAATGTTGTGATATTGATAGCCTATCCTGTATATTACTAGTCCCTTAGTTGTTTGGCTTTAAATGTTGTACAATTATATACCAGTAGCCTATTATAGCACTGTTTTTTCATTGTATTAGGTTTAAGTGCATAGGAGTACTTCAAGAAATATAGTGAAGGATGGGAATGTTCTATACATTACTTCTGAGACACTAAAAGTGACCCGTAAGTAATCTTTTTATGAGCATTTTATACAGATTGATCAGATCAGAGATTAAAGGACGATAGGACAAATTTACAGAATAGCAAACTAATTTAGCCTATTTGGGATTTTCATTTTTAAACTGCAAACTGTGAAGTGTGAATCAATAATAAGTTAGTGCCAATTTTACCACTAGGCCACAAGGAAAAGGAGACCGCAGCGTCTAGTACAAAAACAATTTGTTAGAACAAAAATGGAATTTTAATTTTCCAAAACTAATCATATTCCATAATTTGTGGATGACAATGATGATATTCTCATGATTGCTGGAGATGTTCACGATTTTGCACCAATCAAGGGAAGTCCCACTCAGGTTAATTTGGCCTAGAGCCTCAAGTACCCTAAATCCGGCACTGTGATAACTTCAGTAGAAAGCACTGTGATGTCTGATGTTTATTTGTGCTGAGCTTACCTTTTCACAGAGTGTGGTTATTAAATATTATTAATTAATTTTATTCTTGAACAAGAAAACTAAACTTAACCAATTTATTCTTAACTAACTACACAATAATATTCCAACATAATAACATACAGAAGAATGTCTGTTTTAACTATTGACAGTCAATTAGTGAATGTATTTAAAAGATGCAGCTTTGATTCTGTAAAACTGGAAAGTACACATGGCAGTATTTCAGAGCCATTGTAAAAACGTCACAACTGTAAAATTGCTAACCATCTAATAGATGTTAAGTTGTACAATATTGCTCTTTTACGCGTGGACCGATATTTTAAAATGAATCCATACAATATTTATACTTACGTATGGTCTTGTCCGCATACAACTGCAACAATACTGTTCCCATCAATATTAGGAGTATTATGCACAATTCTGCTGCCGCTGTATTTTTCATTTTCTACAATCCGTCGACCACATTGTCCGTAAGCGTTGTTGCCAAAGGTAAAGACGCCATGAGTGTCAGTAAGTACAACAGAGTGGGCGCGACCTGCTGCCAGTCCTTTAACTTTGGTCGTTGGATCAAGCGGAAGCTCAATTGGTGCAGGGCTGGTGAGTATGTTGAGGGGATGATCTCTCCTGGGGTCATGGTAACCTAAACATATTCACTGACTACAACAAATGATTGAAAGTTGTAGTTTGTGTGCACCATTGATTGCTAGAATATGGCTACACACATCAGACTAATTTATTTTTAAACCCTTACCCATACAAGATTCATGCAGCATGTAATAATCAACCTGGTCTGCTAAGATTCATGTTTGAGGGCACATTTTTGGGTTCTAGTGATGACCACAATACTTAAAATAACTGTCAATCGAAGGAAAACTGAAAGCACTAAAGACATGAATAAATTGTGAATATTTCTGTATAGGCTAGTCATTATCATGGAAAAGATTGTGAGATTTGACACGGCTGACAAAAAAGAACAGTTTCTAACTTTTAACTTTCACCACAGATTGGTTTTGGTAAAAGAGGAACAGCCACTCTTTACCTGCTAACCCTTATCTTTTGATACTTACCGACAATGAGTTGATTATTCACATTTATCCCTACAAATCACGTTTTAAGTCCTATTTTCATGTTTTAGTTTTGAAATTTTCATGCAAGTCCAAACACTGTGTAGGCCCAACACTTAGGTTTCCTAGACGCGTAATAGATGCACAGCGGTTAAGATGCGCTTCGGGTTTTGTCCAGGCCCCAAAAAGCAGCTGCGAGTGGTTTCCTAGACTGCGTACAATACACACGGTTGGTGCGTAACATAAGTTCACGGGAGAGATTACTAGTGGCTACTATGATGTTATACAACGATTTAGATAATGAAATGTATACTTTGGTATTAAAAGTTTCGAAGAAGTGTAAGCAGTGAAAAGTACATGATTAGGAACTGTACGTGGCCTTCGCAGAAGTTTTAACCGTAGTATTAAAGCAAACATGTCAATTTAAAATGTAAACAATAAATTTTAATTTAACCTCTCCAACTTTGATTTTACTGTTATTATATTTAGGCCTACCTATTCGGAATTTACCGAATTGACAAAATCTATATTTTTAATACCCTTGGCATATTTTTGTCATAATTGTTTTAGAGCGGTGGTGCTGCCGATCACCATGTCCAAGGTGTCGTTAGAAAGGTCTTAGCATGTAGTTTTGCCATCAAACAAAAAACTTTGGAATTCAATCAGGGCTCTGCCCCAGTGGCCTTCAAAGTTCCCATGTTATTCTTAGGGAGAAAATGTTTGTTTACATTTGAACAGATGAATACTTTGAAATTGACACTAATATTTGAATCAGCTGGTTATACTAAAATTTGAGACATGTGCTATAAGGATCCTTATATATAAATACGTGAAGGCTATTTCTACGAAACACTACTCCCCCATTAATAATGGACGGATTTTTACAAACGATGTGTCAAAATGAAGTTTTGTTTGTGTAGATGCCCCCTTTCACCAATTCCTGTAATAAAAGTCCTCGGGCTTTGCCCCACAGGCCATCAAAATCGCAAATAACGCCGGTAATACTTTACAATAGCTCGAATTCGAGCAACAGGTGCACTAGTAGTTATTTACGAGTATAACTGCAGTAAGAATTTCATATTTATACGCCAACCCCGTAAGAAGGGGGGTTAATTAATATGCCAGTAATTAATATAGGATTATTACTAAGATGTTCAGGGGTTCTTAAAATAATTATGGGTGCTCTTATATTTGGGAGTTGCTGTTGTGCTGGCTTGAAAAGAATATTTGTTAACATTAGGTTTATTTACAAATTACGAATATGTAAGGACAAATTAATTGTAGGGAACATTTAATAGGGGAATTAAATATTAAAATTACACATTATGGGGAAATTAACACTACCTAACGAATGATATGAAATGTAATACTATAAACATTTTAATTGTATGACCAACGTACTTCCATAATATGTCATTTCAAGAGACAAATTCAATCGATTTTTTTGTTGTTGTTGGGGAATTTTGCCATCTGGACAACATTTAATTCCGAATCCATTGCACAAGACATGTCTAAAACGCAGCATAACTCAGATTTGACTGCTCTGAGAGCAGTCGGTGAAATACGCAGCTATTGGTGTTAGATGGCATTAGATACGCAGCCTTAGAAACCGCTTACACGAAACTCCATAAGACAATGATGCTGCGTATTAGATGCGCACACGCAGCGCATCTATTACGCGTCTAGGAAACCACAGCCTTAGGTATAAAACAAACAGCATCATGAAAGCCAAACCAATGTAGGCCTACAAATTTTTACTCATGAAAAAAAAAGCGGAGATATAAAAACCCTTAATTTACTCAATACATATGTTTCTAGTAGCATTAGTATAGTTGTGTAATCAAAAGTGTGATTTATAAGACTACTGGTTCTTGGTAGGTTTATTTATTTATTTATTCAAATACATCACATAACGCCTAAGGAGTGCTTCTGCACGCAGGCAGGTAAATTGTCAAAATATACATTGTGTACTAGTATAGAATAAAAGCAACATAATAATAAATATAGTAATAAACATAATAAGAATAAAGTATTAACAGTATTGAAAAACAAGTATAAAATAAGTTAGGTTATTAGCAAAGTTTACAAATAAGTTATATCAATGTCAATAAGTTATGTTTACTACAATCAGACTGATAAAAAATCCTCAATTCTGTAAAAACAATTGTCTAACAGGTAAGAAAGTAAGTGTAACCGGAACTTTTTAAATGATTCTACCTCTCTCAGTGATAAAGGAAGCTTATTATACAGTTTGAGACACATATAAAAAGTACTCTTTTCATAAGCAGCAGATTTATGTATGGGGTACTGAAACATACCCCAAAACAGCCCCAACACACAACAACAGTGTGTGTTTTGGGGTTATTCAAAATATCTAAGTTCCATGCAAACTTACCTATTTGCGAATCTGTGTTAATACCACTACCAAATACTTTGTATTTTTCTTTTGTATCGACAGCAAATAATGTAAATCCATAACCACAGGCAATGTCAGTAACCTGAAAAGAAGAGTGGGAATAAAATTGATATAGGTAATACATAGTAAACTTAATTTAAGGATTTAAGATATGGCACATAAAAATCAAACAAGTAAGTTACCGGTAGGGACATGAGTAAAGACGTATTTTCCATTGGGCAGCACATGCTTGCAACTAAATTTTGCATTTACGATTCTTGTTAAAAAATTACAATAGCATTCTAAAACTAGACATAAAAAATGAAAGATGTAAGCAATATTTTTATTTATTAAATTTTGCTCGGCTATTTTACCTTATTTTGTTCAGCAAATGTGAGCCGCAGAGGCTTATGATGAAACTCGGGAAGTTTGTTTTTGTACTTCACAGTGTTCTTTAACTGAAGTCTGTTACCCAAAGCACCATGTTCGGAAAGGCCCCAGACATATACTCTTCGATCACTGCTAGATCCGGGTGGATACTGGAACACTGGAATAAAACAAATGAAATCATGCTTTCAAAGTTCTAAATTTTAAGAACCTACAAAGTTTAAAAGTAAAAAATAATTCAAATAAGTTAGCCATCTTTATTGCTTGAAGCTGGGGCCTCTTAACTAAAAAAGTACTATCAGATGCATGTGTCTTATTTGAAAGGACACAATCAAAGAAGTGAAATACTTTTAACATTGTCAAGCACCCACCACATTTAAATAGGGTCCACCAACAGACCCCTGTCTGTCTAGCCGGGTAGCTCGGTGGTTAGTGCTCGCCTAGTAAACTTAATCGAAAGGTCATCTGTTCGATACTGGGACAAGTGTGTTGCTTTTTGATGGATTGAAACATTTGAAACTGGTCCTAGCTGTTCTTGATCATTGGGCTTTTAATAAAATGGTCCTGACTAATAAAACAACCGGTCTTAGTCAGTAACAAAGCTACACAAGGCATCACACTCCATCTACACTCATATTTGGGTTAAATTACGCATATAGGTGGTGTCCCCATCTCAAATGATAAGTTAAGTTTAATGATAAAAAATATTTATGTCACAGCCACAGTGATAGCCTAACAATTCATCCAGGGCCGGTTCTAGGAATTTTTCAGAGTTAAGCGAACACCCGAATCAGCGCCACTTAGAATCCCCCCCCCCCCCCAAACCCATGAACATAACTTAACCGTATTTGTGAATTTTTTCCCAATAATTTTGGGAAGAATTTGTTTTTAAAGTTTAGGTAGAAGAATAGGTACTAACTTGCAATAAAAGGCTGTTTATTATTCGCAGAAATGTGACATTTATACACTTTTACTCATCATATAAACTATAGCAAAACCAAGGACACACTATAAAAAACAGGCCGTAATGTAATGCTCGTCAAGCATGACGTCACGATAGAAGACGGCAATGACGTAATGTTTGCCGTTTGTGATCAGCTGCTTGTTTTAATCTTTCCTTGGAAAATAAATAAATAAATACCTACGGTACGTCATTGCCGTCTTCTATCGTGACTTCTTTGGGCTGACTGGACTCGCCACCAGATGATTTCTACAAAAGTCTACTCATTGATTTGGTTTTTTTTCTTCCTCTTCCAAATTCGCCTTACGCTTTCTATGATAAGTGCCAGACGGTTTCTTTTTTTCTGCCATTGTTTTCATAGTTTCGGTTCGCAATATGTTTTACTCATTCATTCAGTTTATACTTTCTTTTTATTTAATGCGCTAATTATAAATTAAACTTAAAACACTCGTAATAATTCGCTTATCAACAATCATGAATCATCAAAACAATGCCAATACGATACCGATACGGTATAGGCCTATGCACGATTACTAGAAAAATACCGGTATGGATCATAAACATAAACAAATGACGTTTTTGGCCCGAAAATAAACATTATTTAACATTGCTTAATTGGAACTGCCAAAACATATGTTCAATGCTATTAGTATAGGATTCGGGCCAACAACGTCATTTGTTTATGTTTATGATCCATACTGGTATTTTTCTAGTAATCGTGGGCCTACGTATACAACTAAAAAAGTGCAATACAACCTAGTGCTCTGCTCTAGGATCAGAGGCAGAAAGGAGTGAAAGAAAGGGGAAGTTTCTTGTTGTGACAAGTGGCGCTGCACGCTTGCTTATCTCGATCATTCGTGAAATGAAACCCATAGCGCTGGCGCTGACGCTGCCGACTGCCGAGCGTCAGCCGTCAGCTCAGTTCAAATTGAAACTGCAAATGGCATTGAGTCCTTGAGTTGTAGTGCTGTACAAATATACACAATTTTCAAGTGCTGTTGGTACAAACAGAATAAATGCCTTTATTGTGGTGCTTTGAATACTTTAACTCTGAGCAAAAATAAACAAAATTACGTTGTTCACATAAAAAAATGTTCCGTTGGCGCCACTTTTTCGTGGCGCCATATGCGGCCGCGTAGTTCGCGTATGGGTTAAACCGGCCCTGAATTCATCTTAAGGCACAACCACACTTGTGGCATTCACCGGACACTAAGCAGCTACTTGCGAATCACAACTAACTTAGTGAGGATCGGTTTGTGTACTTATTCGACAATGTTCATCATTTAACTTACCGATGCGTGTTGGTCTTTTCCACACATTATTGCAACATAAGGACTGCTTGGAAAGTGAAAAATATGCACTTTTGTTCGAAAATCAGTGATTACCAATGCATGGTCTTTTCCACACATATTGCAAAAAATGAACTGCTTGGAAAGTGAAGAATATGCACATTTGTTCAAAATCAGTGAATATCAATACAAATAGGCCTAGTTTGCCAATAGACAAATATAGCCTACTAAAGGCATTCGGCTAAAGCCACATGCATGGATCAGCCTTTAGATTTACCGTTGATTGTTCCCCAAATGATAAGTTAGGACAACGGGTTAGGCATAGAAATAGACTTTGGATTGGAACGATTGGAAGTTTCTAGTCTCGGTCAGTCCCCATTCTCGGGCTCTCATTGCAACGCACGATGTTGTTTCTGGGTCGCCCATATATTGGGGACTGGGTTGGGTGGCGTCGTCCTGTAATCCAGCTACTAGGAGGTCACAAATTGTGGATATTTATAGGCATGTACTGTGGATGCGATACTCCCTGGTGTGGATTAACGTCCGCACGAGTGAGTACTACGACTATCTGCAGTACTATCCAGATAAGTAGACCAATTCGTAATATACCAAGGCAAAGTGGTTCGGATTCCACAATAAACTGTAGGTCCCTTAGCTGTATGGGCTATTAATCAACAGATGTCTCTAAGGAATGTCGGCCTTAGTCACTAACAAGACCACAAGATCGCGCCACTCATCCTACACTCATCTCCATTCATACTTGGCTTAAAATACCTACTTTGTATGGTCGCCATTAAGAAAAAAGGTCTATTTAAGTATTAAGTATACACCACACCGCGGCTGTTCCGAGTGCACTTTGTCCGGAAAACTATGAGTTTACATTCTTATATTGAGTTACTATACACTTACCAGGTAAGTCAAACTCTGCATCTCTGTCGATGGGATGAACCCTTTTATAGTTATATTTTAATGATGAACTTAGTGATCTGAAATCAACTGCAGATGGATGAGATGTTAACCTCTGCAAAAAAGCTCTCTTCATTATGGTAAACAAGTACCTCTAAGGCCAACAACTTATAAAATAGGCCTAGGGAATGAAATATGAGACCTAAGTTAGGGCCCATTGCATTTTATAATTTGACATTTCGAAGATCAAATGGATGTGTATCAAGTAGGCCTAAACCAATAATTTTTGGTCGGTCAGATGCAAAAACCCTGTAAGTTAATCTACCCTTTTGCTTGAAATAACTTAATTTGTCACTTCACTTGCCGATTTCGATTGGTTCGAAGTTCTATAAACTTACAGTAACTTCTAACGTTTTATTTAACCTAACCACGACAACAAACACAACAATACAATAATACAACAAGAACAAACAGTAAACACAAACACGAAACAACTATCCAAACAAAACAAAACAAAACAAGCTTGGGTGCGGCTGTCTGTTGCGGTGCGGTTCGTGTTTTTCTCTAGTTTGCTTTTCGGCAGGCTAAACTTTACTAGTAGGTTTCGTTGTTCAATATTTAGGCTGTATCATAGATTAAACATACTAGGAGTATGTTTAATCTATGGCTGTATCTGATCACGGCCGCCTTTAACTCCAGGCCACGGCCTTCGAAGTGGCAACGTCGCAAGTGGTTGTTTACAGCTGTGTTGTTTGGAAGCAGCTAATGGTGCGGTGGGGCACACGGAAGATTTCTCAGGTGCCATTTGACGTTACTAACTGCTGACGTCACTAACTGCTGCCATAGATAAAACATGCGTCTGAAGAAACAGACAATTTTATAATTTTCTATTATTAAATTAAACTGCCATAACCTAACCAAACCAACCAAACGTGCTGATAATGGAAAAATCGAATAAAGGTTTACTAATCTAAAAAATAGTTTTGTTTATAAAATAAAATTATAATTGCCTAAAATTCAATTTTATAATTTTTTAATTATAAAATTAAACTGTAATAACCTAACCAAACCAACCAAACTTGCTGATATGAAAAAATTGTTGATAAAAAGTTAGTGCCGCTGGCGGGATTCGAACCCGGAACATTCGGATTATCAGCCCGCAACGCTATCCACTGCACCACCGAGGCCGATGGCTCAATACCACTGAGCTAAAATTATAACTGGAGGTAGCACTGCCATGGCAGAAGTCTGTCAAAAGCGTGTCGCTGATTTTGTTAGGTCGGTATAGCAGTAAGTTTTCTTATCATAGCAATGACATGGCTTCTTATAACTAGGTTGGTAGCAGTGAGTATTTTTGTCATACTTGAATACTTTTAATACTTTAATAATTTTCTTTGAAATGGCGACCATACAAAGTAGGTATTTTAAGCCAAGTATAATTGAATGAACGAAGTGAATTCTCATACTGGTACGAAAAGCATCTCTATGGATTACAAAAACTCGAGAACGATTACATCTATCAACTTGATGTTTTGCACAAAGATTCTATAGTATAATATCATGCCGGGGATCGTTTTTGGAGCATATTTGTTCAGTAATTACTATTTAATCCTAAAAAAAACCATTTTAATTTTCCCCCATAAGAATAACATTAGGAGCTACCTTCTTCTTCTTTTTTTTGTTTACATTTTACGAGCAACAATTTTGTTATTTTGCTTCTTGCTTTAGACAAAGAGACCAAATTGTCTATTTCTTTCATCCATGGAGTAAACAGTTTTACGCATAAGAACGCTTTACACTAACTTATAACTATTTAAAAGAATATTTATCTGTGGAAATAAATATCGGATTTAAAAATATCCACCGAAATTTATTAACTTACATTCTATAAAATTATTTAGGTAGTTACATGTTGTTATGGTTTTTGTTCAGTAGGCTTGAATAATATCAGCCTAATTATTACTATTTTTTTTTTAAAGAGTCACTTTTTTTCAAAATTTGTTTATCGTCGTCGTCGTCGATTGGATTGTGTTGTGATTCGTGAATCGTGATTGTGTATTGTGTGTTCGTGTTGTTGGGTGCTGTCTGCTGCTGAGCTGAGTTTTGTTTTATGTTGATGTTAACACCGTTAGTTAAATAGTAATAAAGTAATTAATTGTAGTAGTTAGGGTGTATGGTTACACTTTGAAGTGTAGTTTGTGATACTACAGTCGTCAATCGCAACTAAAAGACTAGATCCAGGTTAAAGAGGCTCGATGCATTAACCAAGAAAATCTGAGGGATTCATGGCCATTGGCAAGGAAGGAAATATATTACTGTGTTGTTTAAAAATTAATTGTCATTGTTGAGATATGATCTTTCAAAAGTTGGCCCATTTTAAACTGACAAGAGTGTGCCCTATCAAAACTGACAACGTTCGTGTTCGGGTAGCGTACAATCAAAGGTAGGCTAATAGCCTAGGCCTACCTTGGCCTATTCTACAGTCCAATTAACTTAAGCTTAAGGACCTAGGCCTTATATAGATCAATTGCTTCTTGCCTTTGACTTACATAGGTAGGTAGCCTATATCTCTGGGCCTTAACTTAAGCTGGGTTTTTCTCGGCCCGGATTGCGGAAAAGCGAATAACAATGTGTGTCGCTCCGCTTCTAGAAAACAGTAGGCTAATTAAATTACTGTACTTAAGACAAGAATAGCAGCCTGTGTGGGTAAACTTCCATATCTGTTGGCACAAATAACCGAATGAGTAATATTGATTAAGTTATTCGATTGTTTAATTCGATATATTGTTTGGTTAGTTAGGTTAGGTTAACCTTACCTACCTAAGTCACCAAACGATACGTATTTATTCCGTAAAGGTGCCTCCAAACGAATTTTTAATTTTGATATCTTACATTTATTTTTTTACCTCCTGAATCCAAATATACTATTATTTTTCACCGCTGATGAATATTTCTCAAGATATAGCCGTAGATATATACGTATCTTGTATTTCTCAAGATACAACATTACAATAAACAAGGTAGGATGGATAACATTTACAAGTGGAATGAACTGTGGGTTAACTAAGCCTACAGCTGACTGTTTTCAACCACACGACAAGCAACTGTAAAAATTAGGTACAGTTCTCATTTAGGCATGTCAGGGTGGTAGGTCGTGCTTTATGCGAATTGGTGACTGCATTAAGTGTTTTGAAGTTATGTTAGATTAGGAAGGTAAAGTTTAGGTTATAATGTATCGAGTTGTTAGTTTATGTCGCCTGCATACTGTTTTTGTAAAATTAAAATCTTGAGAAAAACACTTCAAATTACCTTTTCAAAAATGCTTGCATTTTTATCAATACTTGCATTGTATTGTAATTTCATTTACTGAAAATCAATAATTTAGCTCAATTCGACACACATTCAAATAACAAAATTATATTGTGGAAACGATAGCTTCTTATGTATCAAACCGAATCAAAATCGATACAGGCCTCAATTTATTTATATTTAAAACGATATTAATACATCACAGGTTCTCTGCCAAACTTTACTCCTAGGCATGTACTTCTTGGTTTTTAATTGACTTTGGAGTATCACCATGAATACATGTTTCATCCTAATTTTACTTAGTTAGGCCTAGGCCTGTAGGGGCCTAATAGTCGACAGAGTTAGAAAATAAGCCAAGTCATAGTTGGCAATTTTTTGCTTGGGTTTATCCAAATAAGCAACTCCAATGCAGTGCCCTATTTTCAATTTTTAATAATAGCCAATTGCGTAATGAAGATACCATTTAAGGCTACGATATTGCGTAAATCAAGGCCATTTTGAATTGTAGTACCGTACCTATAAATGTTAGGATCTAGATAACTTATGTCCAATTAATTGTGCTTCTATACCTAATATGTCTTAGGGTAAAAAAACACATACAGCAATTCAGATCGGAGCAGGCGGGCTGTAGCGTCGAGAGTGTGAGCGACTGATGTCGGACACATGCAGCGACTTAAGCGAGAGCGACACGAACGGGAGCTCGATCATTTCCAAGATACCACAAAGCAAGTTCGCAGCAATTTGCAGCACAGCAAAAAGGCCGCGGCCTTAGAAGTGGCAACATCGCAAGTAGGCTTGTAACAGCTGTTTTGTTTTTTGAGGCAGCTAATAGTATTTGTGTATTTGTTAATAATATGAAAACTTGCTTACCGGTACTGGGCTATGAAAATATGGACTCCCCTTTTAAATGTACAAAAATATATTTTTGATTTTAAAATCTTGTTTTGGTCTTCAATTCTCTATGTTTTATTTTCAATCTTTGAATACATTTATGTTCTTAAATCTAAATTTAAATGGATAGTATGCAAATTAATGAGCTGGTGTCACCTGTTTGCCATGTTATCTTATGCGACGTTTGGCGCTAGACAAGTTAAAGGTGGCCGTGGCAAAAGACTTGGCTTAAAACATTACAAAGTGACTATTCACATGTCAAAATTGCGTCACAACCCCTTCCCGTTCCAGTATTGCAAAATAATGAAGAAAAATGACAGTTAATCTAGACCCCATTATGAATTACTTACCTACTCACTCACATTAAATATCTGCGATGATGGAGGTTCCTTTAAAATTTGTCTATTTTGAAGCAAAAGACGCGCATAATAAGTTAAGGATTAAACGTTCTAGAACAGTCAATTGAGCGCGAAAGCCATTTCTGTTATCAAAAGGGCCAATTTTTGAAATGCTACAGACAGTTTGGTTAGGTTAGGTTGATTTTGGGTCATAGGGCCTCTAGGTTATTTTTAAGAAGAAACTTTTACACTGTTCTGCGGGTATTTGGTTAGCTTAGTTGAGTTTCGCTAGGTTTAGTTCATGGTACAGTAATAACTACCTTCTTTTTAAAGACTAGGTCCCTACTTATGAAAAAGGTTGAATTTAAAAAATGATATTTTGTCATTATCATAAACTAAAATGATTCTAACTAACCTAACCTATATGCAGCAGAGTGGCAGGGCTTTTATAGATATACTGATAATAACAACAGAAAAAACTATAACGTTGAATGAAATATTTGAATAGGCCTACATATTTAAATATCAAACAAACATTTCATGCGATAATATATCGTAAGTACTCTGTGAAACTGTTCACTGTGTTTTCCTGCTTACAGTAAGCATCACAAAATAACAGCCAATAGTGCCTTGGTAATCTGATTATTTTTGTATCATAGTCTGATCCGTTAAAACGAGTGTGAAATAACGATCATCATGTCTTCCTTTCAACACGCTCGCTACCGATTGCCACATATATGTGATGCTGAAAAGATCATTGTCACGGACCAGGGTACATTTTAATATTACACATCTAGAGCGGGTATCACTTGGTTCACAGTACTCACAGACCATGGACCAGTGATGCAGCAAAGTAAAAAAACTGCCAACTATCATATAACACCACTAATCATCATTTACATAGACCAAGTGAACTGCTTAGTCTCTTGTTTACAT